TATTCTAACTGGGGTGAGATGATCTCATTGTGGTTTTGATTTGCATTTCTCTGATGATTAGCGATGCTGTGCATTTGGATCCAAATGATTAACATAAGGCAAAATGTTTGGAAGAGTGCCTGACACAGTAAACACTAGTCAAATATTAAGCATTGCTTATTAGCAAAAATGAGTGCCACTAAACTTTAATTTTAAATCAAATTCCCAATAATTGTTTTATATGTTGACCAAGCTACTTTCTGATCATTTGCTTCCCCATGTGTCTTTCCCAAAAGGATACAATCTGCTGGTCAGGAGCAAAATAGTTTTTTCTCATCATAAAGTGGTACCTTGCCATTCTCATACCGTATATAAGAATCTTACAGAGTTGATTCAGCATCTCTGAGCCTGCTTAACTGTGGGGCACTTCAAAAATCAAAAGGATGATCCTACAAGATGGGATACACATTCCAGTGTAAATTCTAATATGTGGTGTGTCTACGGGTTCCAGGTGAACATTCCTCAGTGAAATTTTATCTAACTAAGGTTTGGGTTTTTGTTTTTTCACATGAAACCTTGTCCCCCAAAATTTTTTTAATTTTTTATTTTGAAGTTGTAGGATACAATTCAGGGTTAAGTATACAAATGTTCATTATGCAGGTGCCCTTGTTGATGAGGCGTCCCCCATGCCTGGCAGTTTCCCACTACTACCAAGCCCACTCCCTCCCTCCCCTGGCAGTTTCCAACTACTGTCAATCCCTTTCTTACAGTATTATGATAATTGTTCGAAGTCCGCTTATGAGTGAGAACATGTGGTACTCAGTTCTTTGTTTCTGTGATAGATTATTCAGTATCTATTATGAACTCTAAGTCCTTCCAAGTTGCTGCAAAGTTCATAATTTTGTCCTTCTTTATGGCTGCATCATAGAATGTTCCCAAGATTTAACACCATTTACAATCAAACTTGCTCTACCCACCTGCCATAAACAAACTTTCTCTTGGGCAAAAATACTTATTTCCATATACCATTATTGTCTCTCTGCTTTTCTTAAATACTATTTACAGAGCATCAGAATTCCACAATTTCATGTTCTAGCTCAAATCTCTCGTCAAATATTTTGTCTCTAGTTCATCTCTTCTCTACTCTTGGCTATATTATAACTTTCTCCGATTTTATTATAGCAATATTTTATTCTAATTTCTTTCCAACTGATGAAAACTTGGGAGAATATTATTGAGTCAGTTTCCTAAGTCCCTATAGAGAAATCAGATTAACTAAGTTCGTCAAACTATGAATAACTCAAATTTAAAGCTATTGGAACTTTAAATTATTTTGAGCCTTGAGAGGCCTGAGTCACAAAATATGCAGCTGCAACTTCTGCTTTTTCCTGTAAGTTATTAGGAAAGACCAAATAGCCCCAGAGATAAGACCCTTTGAGATCATTACCCCTCCTTATGGAATGTTAAAGCAATCTTCCCTGGTATGTAGCAAGCAGTAACTAATCACATCATAGGACATATGTACTGTCCTTATATGAAAAATATTGTAGCCCAGCTCGGTGGCTCAGCCTATAATCCTGTGCCTTGGGAGGCTGAGATGAGTGGATTGCCTGAGCCTGCGGGTTTGAGACCCGCCTGGGCAACTTGGCAAGACCTCA